CTGCAAACCTTGCAAAAACGGCCCCATTTTTTTCAAATAAAAGGCACGAATAGCCTTGGGGGGGGGGCTTGCAGAGTGTTCTAGAGGGGGGGGGAACGAGCAAACAATGGCCTGTTTTTCATCAAAAATTTGCATGCATAGCCTTATGGAGGCTTATAGAGTGCTGTTGGGGGCTGGGGCAAAAAAACCTGCCATTTTTGTGAAGGGGCGGGGCTTCAGGAGGCAAAAAAAATGCTGTATTTGATGTATAAGTCACACCCAGATTTTCAGCCTCTTTTTTGAAGAAAAAAGGTACGTCTTATGCTCTGCAAAATATAGTAGTAGTATATACATATAACTAATTTTTTTCTGAAATAGGAAATGACCATTACATTTTCACAACCTTTATACTTCCAGTGCCATGCCATGTTGCCCTATGTAAACTTCAGATATTACAGATTGCAAACATATATTTAGGTTCAGAAATGTTAGGGGTAATATTTACCAACAACTGCTCGATTTGCAGAAGAGATCACCTTCTTAGATCCAGAGGGCAGCTTCACCCTGGTCTTCTTTGTTTCAGGATTGTGGGAAATAACGGTGGCATAATTTCCAGAAGCCCGAGCTAGTTTTCCACGATCTCCAGGTTTCTCTTCAAGACAGCAGATAATGGTGCCTTCTGGCATTGTACCAACAGGCAGGACATTGCCAATGTTGAGCTGAGCTGAAAGGGATGGATTTGCATGAATGAAAATGCTCCTTATAATAGTGACCTCTGGGTTATACAGAAGGAAGAATCATGTGGTTCTACAGTAATAAAATAGTTGGCAAGTTTGGTAGCATCTTCAAGGCTAAGGGTGTAACCTTTTGAGAGCAGCAGATGCTCTTGATACCTGATCCCTTACAAAGATGCTTGGCCTTGAAGGTCTGCCAGACTTTGTGTCTCTTTTCTATTTCATGGTGTTTTTCTCCAATATCAACTTTTCAAAGGATGCAGATGTTACAAGAAATCCTAAATGGCTACCGATTGCCTTTACTTACCTTTCTTGCCACAATAAACAAACTGTCCTGTATGAATGCCCTCCGCTGCAATGAACAGTTCTGTTCGTTTTTTAAACCTATATGGATCGCGAAAAACCACTTTGGCAAGAGGGGCTCCTCGACCAGGATCATGAATGATATCCTAGAAATACACAATTAAAACTTGAGAAGTTTGAGAAGGGCATGGCTTCAAAAATACAATTAACACTATTACAATTTTACTTAAAGAAATATTTACTTGTGCTCCTGCAGCTCAAAATGACGTTTTTATACCAACAAAATAATATTGCCAAAGAAACTAATTACTTCAAGTGCCATGTATTTAATATCCATACTGCAATTATATTAGAAAAGATGGGTATGTATGCATGTGAAAAGTTTAGATGCATTTTAAATTCCTCACCCAGATGTTTGCTATATTTAAATAAGAACTTTAAATTCATATTTTAATTCTTGTATGACACTCAAAAAACCTTTCTATCCAACCATCACTTTAACAAGTCCGAAGCCTCTGTTCATTTTGATTTTAAATAAGCTATTTGTAAGTCTGTTCTCTTGGTATTGTCTTTACTAGTAAAATTTTAAACTTTAAAATAATGTACTGTTTCAAAGGAACTCCACAACTTGATACTTGCCTTTACAATGCCCTTGATATAGCCATGTCTTTCAGCAAAATCAATAGCCCTCAGCTTTGCTGCACCCTTTCTGTGTTTCACATGGGCCCTGAAAACAGAACCTGCACCTTTTCTTTGACCTCGTATTACACGGCCCATTGTGCACTGAAAAACAATTGGAATCAATTATTTAGGATTTTTTCTTTAAGAACAAGCCCATTATTTAATACATACTGTAATGTTACATATCATTAAAATAAAAACTGTTAAGCTCCTGACAAGATCATAAATAAATCCACTTGTACTCTGGAAACAGGAATGCATAACTTTAATCCAGCTCTTTCAGTCCTTTTAAGGTTGTTGGGATAAAATTGAAGATTTAATTTGCAATAATGTAAGAAACCTTGAGTCCTTTGGAAAAGCAAAATATACACTGGGTAAACAAATTAATTTTAAAGTTGTTAAAACCAATTCTTTCTTCAGAGCTATTTTTGACTTTCCAATCAAGTTCTATTATACTGCCTGGGCTTTCCTGTAGTCCCCCTTTCTAAATACTAATTGGTTTTAATACTAGTTTTCTTGAAATCAGCCAAATTCTGATCTTACAGTAACAATGTACCAATATTAGCTGCAGTTATTAAACGTTCCCTCTATCTAACGTTCCATTTTTTAAAACAAATTTCAACATATAATCGTTTATCTTTCTATATCTTCGTTTAGTGATTAAATCAAACCTGAAAGAACTATGATCCTTTTTAATCTGATCCATTTATCATTAATGCATTCCTTAAGCCTCCATTTAAAAATATTCAAGGAGTTAAATCGGTCATTGGTTTTTTTAAACATAAGGCTAATTTTTGAGAGTTCCAACTTATTCTGTGGACAAATGTTCTTTTTCTATGTTAACTTGAAGTTCTTCGAATGCAGTGGCAGTATGAAAATGGAATGTTGGACAAAAGGTAAAAACGATTTAATGAGCAGTGGATCAATTGTGAATTATCGTGTAATAACTGAAAGTTGAAAAGCTGACACGTTGTAAATGAAGGGCTTCAAAAACAGCTCGGAACGAGAATTTTAAAAAGTCGAGAAGACAAACTTTTAAACATATCAGAAACAGAAAAGCTTTTCGCCATATTTCTCCAATGTTGCTCGTGGCCAAAGAGGAACGGCGCTCGCTTGCCACGGAAACTAGCTAGAGAGCCCGAAAATGCTCGACCTCATCTCAGAAAGCTTCGACAAGGTGGCAAGCAGCTCAATAATACACAAAGAAGGCCAGGGTGGGGTCACGGAGACCCGATGGAGACGGATATGATTGGAACGCTTCCCTATATCGGAGACATTCTTACCTCTGCCGGAGTCTGGCCCAGGAAAAAGAAAGCTGGGGCAATGACAGCACTGCAAACTCTTTCCGGCCACGACGGAAAGCGCCAAGCCAAGCATTCTCATGCTTGCTGGGTAATGTAGTTCTGGTACCCGGGAATCTGAATTCATTCTTTATTTCCCGTTGCATTACTTCCGTTCTTTATGTATTTGTTTGTTTGCTCATTCAGTTTCGAAGCTGTCAGATTCCTCAAGTTCTCTGGGCGATTTACATATAAAAATTAAAAGAAAAGAAATTACATCAAGAAAAAAGACAGCTGCCCGGAGATTGAAGCCTCGAGGCCAAAAACAAAGGGGCTCGATCCTCCATCCTAATCAACTGAGGCCTCAGAATTACATACAGCCCCCTCTGCAAGCCTTGAGTCCCATCACGAGTGCTCAACAAATCATATAGATAATTATAATCATCAATGTCGCAGAAAGAACACTCTTGAATACATGATTATAGTATAATTATATACTATAATTTGACTAGTTTTACAATTAATAAAATGAAATCAAATTTGTTGTGACCTTTTGTAGTAAGTTATGATCCAGCCCTCTCCCAGAAAAATGAAATATCCNAAAAAAAAAAATTACTGCCCAGGATCAGTATTAGTACAATCAAATCACTCCCAAATGGCAGGGAACAAAGCAGTTTTTACTGACAATACCCATTGAATCCCTAAGTTATCTTAACTCACCAACTGGCAGGCTGCTGGATCATAAAATTCCCATATTGAAACGCAAACTAGGCTGTCTTCCTGACTAGTTTATAGTTTGGACTCTTTCCCAAATTACCTGGAATGTCACTAGCGGGATATCTGTAATAAGTCATCCTTTTTTCAACATGCAACTAAACTTCACATTTCAGAGATTTCACTGCAAGAAACCTGAGCCACGCATAATGTAGACTAGGATATACTACTTCACGTAATGCAAGCCCAAGAGAGAAATGAGGAAGGCCACAGGGCGTATTCCTACTTGGTTAGCAGAGAACTTCAATTCAGTATTGCTTAGCTCCCATCCTTGGACAGTTAAATTTTATCTATTTTATTAAAAATGAAATGAAACTCTTATATTATTCCCTCTCTGCATTTGTACCCAAATTAAAGCAGTTGTGCTATACGGAACCTAGTGTAGTTACAAAATTGTTCCTCCCTTTATTCTTCTGTAATTATTGTGGATTGGAAGAGATATTTATCTGGGTGAATCAGCAAAGCTCCATTTTCCAAGGTAGGGAGACAAAATATACATTTTTTGTTTTGATCTTTGATCATATATAAATAAAGTCTACCTTTTAAATATAAAATTGCTTGGTAGATATTTCTAAAATAATTCTCACACTCAATTTTTTAATCAGACGGCATTTATTTCTGGATATAGTAAAATGAAGAATTTAATTCTCCTTCTCTTGCACAGTCTTTGTCCCACGCAGTCTACCAGTACGTCGGGCTGCAATAAGACCAACTTTGCGACCAGCAGGAGCATCCCTCCTAATAGTCGAAGGCTTCCCAATGTGCTGATGGTTACCACCACCGAAGGGATGTTCCACAGGCTGGGAAAGAGAAGCAATCAAAATCAAGGGCAGAACAGAAAGGTATTTCAAATATTAAAGGAACTTAATTAAAAATCTCATTAGGCAAATGACATTATTATTAATGTTACCAAACTGAAAACAAAAATTCTGATAGCATCTTATCCATTGCAAGAAAGAACCAGCATTAACAATTTTTAGGAAGTGGTGCAAACTGCCGGAAGAGTACCGTGTTTCCCCAAAAATATGACAGGGTCTTATTTTCTTTTTACTTACAAAATATGGCCTTGGGCTTATTATAGAGGAGGGCTTATTGTTTTGGGGTTGCCGGGCGGCTGCTCCCTTGCGAACTGGCTCCAGGAACAGCCTCAGGGGCCAAGCAGCCATGAGGTGACCAAACTCACAAGCAACAGCCCGGCAAACTCCCTCTCCAGCTGGGCAGAGTGCCATTCACTGACCTAGGAGGTATCCCTAAGGCGCCAAGCCACATGGTGCTCTGCCCACTCCCCAGCACCCGCGGCTTGGCACATTAGGGATACCCCCTAGGTCAGTGCATGGAGATCTGCCAGGTTGGAGAAGGGGGTTGCATGAGCGCCTGTTCCGCCCCCAACAGGCATGCCTCCTAGCCTCAACATGTATGGGCCCAGTTCTCCCTGCAGCAGCCGACTCTTCCAGCAGCCAGTCCACAACCATAGAGCGCACTCCTAGAGCGGCCGCTGCTGGAAGACTCGGCAGCTGAGTTTGGAACCAGAGAAGACGTTATGCTCAGAGCGCGGCAGCAGCTGCAGGGAAAGCTGGGCAACTCCCCCTCCGGCCAGGCAGAACGCCACTCCCCAACCTAGTGGTATCCTGAAGGCGGCAAGCAATGTGAGCGCCTTTCTCCCACTTCCCACGGCTTGGCGCCTTCAGGATACCGCTATGTCGGTGAGTGGTGCTCTGCCTGGCCGAAGGTGGGATTGTCCAGGGGGTTTATTTTCGGGGGTTGGCTTATATTTTTGCCCACGCGAAAAATGTGGCAAGGCTTTAGTTTCAGGACAGGTTGCATTTGCGGGGAAACATGGTATGTACTACTGTATTTTTCGGAGTTTAAGACGCACCAAGGTTTTGAAGAGGCAAATTAAAAAAAAGTAGGTAGATAGAGGGATAAAGAGGGAGAGAAAGAGAGAGAAATACAGGACGTAGGTAGGGAGAGAGAGTAGTTAGGTAGATAGGTAGATAAAGGAATAGAGAGAGAGAGAAATAGAGAGAGAAATAAAGAAATACAGTAGGTAGATAGGGAGAGTGTGTGTGTGTGTAAGTACATAGGTAGAGGAATAGAGAGAAATAGAAAGAGATAAGAGAGAAATACAGTAGATAGGGAGAGAGAGTGAGTAGGTAGGGAGGTAGAGGGTGAGAGAGAGACAGATAGACAGAGAAATACAGTAGGTAGGTAGGTAGAGAGAGAGTAGGTAGGTAGATGTTTCCAAGTGTATTTATCCATGTGCTGGAGAAGGAAATCGCTGACAATCTGCAGCACCTAAGTCTTGTTTCTGCTGGCACAACACTTGAACAATGTAATTCTCATCAATCACTCTAACTAAAGAGCTTTCTGAAAGGGGGGGAAGTTTTTGCACTCTGTAAACCTTCCAAAAATGTGAAAAACGGGCCTGTTTTTTTTGGTTTTTTTTTAAAGCATGAATAGCCTTGGGGGACTTGCAGAGTGCTCCTGGGGGAGGGGCAAAAATGAGCAAAAACAGGCAATTTTTCATGAAAACGGGCTTGTTTTTGTCAAAAAAAATGTATGCATAGCCTTATGGAGGCTTATAGAGGGCTGCTGGGGTCTGGGCGGGCAAAAAATGGCCCATTTTTTGCTCATTTCTCCCCTCCCCAGTAGCTCTCTGAAAGCCTCCATAAGGGTATGCATGGCCATTTTTGTGAAGGGGACAGGGCTTTGGGAGGCAAAAAATGCTGTATTCGGTATATAAGACGCACCCAGATTTTCAGCCTCTTTTTTGAGGAAAAAAGGTACGTCTTATACTCCGAAAAATATGGTATCTCTTGCTCTCTGCTTTTAAAATGTTAAATTGATAGCCATGTATTAACTTTCATCTAAATGTTGTATTACCATTTTATATTATACATTTTGTTGTATTATATTAGCATTTGGGACTAAAATTTTGCAAACAATATAGCAGGTGTAAGTGCAAGCATGGAATTCATCAACATTACCATTAGGTTTGAGGGAGGAGACACATAACTAGTTCCCCCCAAAATTGGACCTATCCCGAAGATAAGACCTAACATGCTTTACATGTGCGCTTGCACAGCTGCCCGCCCATTCCATCTGGTTGCTCGCAGTGCCAACACGAGATGAAGTGAGGGGGTGGGTGGGGTGGAACTGGCCCATGCACCGGCTTACCTCAGGGTCCCCACAGCCAGGCTACCCATGCCCTGACAACTGCTTCATGATGGCAGCACTAACAACCATTTGCAGCAAGAGCCCATATGGCTGCTGGCTCACTTCTTCTGCTTGCTCGCGGCCACAAGAAAGCAAGCTAAGTGACGCACTGGTGCTGTGGCCATGAGATGAGGCAAGGGTGGAACCTCAGTTTATCTCAGGAACCCCGCAGGCAGGCCATCCACGCCCTAACAACTGCCTTGTGGCTACAGCACTGGTGCGTCACTTGGCCTCCTGCAGTTGTGAGCAAGCTTGAGGTCCTGCCGCTGGCATGAGGTGAGGCAAGTGTCGTGATGTGGGCGGTCTGGCTGCGGGGGCCCTGAGGTAAGCCAGTGTGGGGCTTGTGAGATCGCTCCACTCCCCACCTCACCGCAACTGGAACACTACATGGCCTCCTGCCAGCTACAAGCAAAAGAGGGGCACCCATACACAGGGGGTGGGGGAGAGAGACATCGCTGAAAACAATATTTAGTGTTTATTTCAGAGAACAAAAGAAAATAAGACTGGGTCTTATTTTCCGGGAAATATGGGTAAGTCAAAACCTATCTTTCATAGAACTATATTATAAAAAGACTTCTCTATTTTCCTCTTTTCTCATTCAATTTTCTTTTTATCCTCTTTACCAAATAACCTAATTTAGAACTACGGATGTGCATAAAAGTTGGCACCTTTTTTAAAAAGCAGTCTCTTTTGTTGGCTAAATTGTAGTGGAAAAATCCCAAGAAAATATGCATTTATGAGATCCTGACAGTATGCAGACAGGTATTTTAGTAACGTTCTGTCCAAAGTTCATTGCTCCCCACACCCCGGGTAATTGATGATAAAAGAGATTTGGGGCAGGATTGATCTAAAAAGCAGCAGCATATGTAGATCAAATTTTGTGCTGGAGACTAAGCTGCAAAGATATCACTAATTTTAATTGAAAATAAAAACACATTCTTCCTTTAGGACCAACACAAAATTATGCAACGAAAGACTGAATTATTTCTGTAGTATATGCAATCTTCCTACGCTTGTTAACATGCAAACCCAAGAAAAGTAGAAGTTTTATTAAGGAGATGTTGACAAGTAGTGTACAGACCTGTGTCACCTCCAAAACATCTTGTCTTTTTAGGCAATGTATTAAAGTAGTAAATGGAAATAAAAGAATTTAACATGATAAATATAAAAACTACGTACATTCATAGCCACACCACGAACTCGTGGCCAGCAATTTCTTTTTGCTTTGTATTTATGGTAGGCCCGCCCAGCCTTCAAGATGGGTTTATCAATACGACCACCACCAGCAACAATACCTACAAGAATAATAGGAGTACAATCATCACAAAAGATAATCTCTAATGACATTTTTTGCAAACATTTACTAAATTCAAAACATTCTTAATTTGTCATATTGCATGTTAGTTATTAGTTATATATTACCGTATTTTTTGGAGTATAAGACACACCAAGGTTTTGAAGATGCAAATTAAAAAAAAAAGTAGGGAGGTAGAGGGACAGAGAGATACAGTAGGTAGGGAGAGAGAGTCGGTAGGTAGGTAGATAGAGGGATAGAAATACAGTAGGTAGGTAGGGAGAGAGAGATTGGGTAGGTAGATGTTTCCAGGTGTATTTATCCATGTGCTGGAGAAGGAAATTGCTGACAACCTGCAGCACCTAAGACTTATTTCTGCTGGCACAGCACTTGATCAATGTCATTCTCACCAATCATTCTAATTAAAGAGCTTTACGAAAGGGAAAAAAAGAAGTTTTTGCACTCTGCAAACCTCCCAAAAACGGCTTCGTTTTTTTAAAAAATAAAGTAAGTAAGTAAGATCTTTATTACGGTCAAAGACCAGCAATATACATTTGTCTTTACACTATATTAAAAATACTA